ATTGCAACTGGAACTTTCAGGGCCCTTTCGCCAACTACAAAGACGTCCATCCCTCCACATAGAAAGGGGAACCCCGCCGAGGTCTCGACGCCCGCGCGTGGCACTCGCGCGGCCGCCGTGAAGAGCGGCCCACGTGCAGCCAGGCGCGTGAGGCCTGGCATCCAAGAAGAGCCTGTACGGATCAAACGCTGGCCAAGCAATGTTGACCCCATATTAAGCAACCCCAGTCTATTAGCGGTGTGTCCCTGGGTTGAAGCATCACTCTTGGAGGGAAACACCCCCCTATTAATACACTGGGGTTGAATGATTTGGGTCAACATTATATTTACTGCGTGCACCTCTCTGTTGCTCCTTTGTGCCAGGGACACAACTCCATTTGTGGGTCATGGTGATGGCTCCCTTTTCAAGAACCCTTAGGTTGTCTAAAACTGAAAGGCTGATGACCATCCCTCCCAACCCCAGAACAGCACGTCTTTTGCTCCGGCTTGGGGCTTATGGAAGACGTATACTTGCATCAGCTTGCACACTTGCAACCAAAGCACCTGCAAATAACAGGTTCCTCTTGAAAATCAGGGCTGGAAATGGGGCAAGCCAAAGGCTGGCTTCGGGCAACCAAGGTTTGCCAAAGCGGCCCACAGCCGAACCATGTCGCCGGGCTTTGGTGCGCGTGCACATCGTGCAGCCACGCACCAAGGGGTCCGGAACGAAGCTGTGGGGCAAGGAGGAGGAAGATGTTCAGGAGGCACCATCAGCAGACAGTGGCCAAGAGGCCAAGAGGCCAAGAGGCGGCAAAGTGCCCTGAGTGGACCCAAAGGCCTACACCCGTAGCGGGACATCTCCACATCCAAGTTGCGAGCAGGACTCTGGCCTCCTCACCTCGTGCTCCGTTTGCCACATTCTCAAAGCCCCCTCCCCCCAAAAGCCACTGGGGCGCGTACGGGCAGTCCCTCTGCGTAGGAAAATGCACAGTGTCAATCGTGGCTGCTTTTGGAGAAACTTCAATTGGATGATTATGAGACCCCGCCCTAGAAGCAACTCCGCCCTAGAAGCACACCTGCTTTCGTAGGTGTGCGCGTGCCACTCTTCGAACACCTCCATGTCCAAGTCCAAAATGCAAAAGTGCTGTTCAAAACCGTCTTGGGGTGCTGGCTGGCTTTCCTTTAGAAAAACAAAAGGTAGTGCACCATGATGAGGCATACCCGTGTCCAAGTTAAGCGAACAACAAGGATGTCCAAGCAGCCGCCCGCGCCTCTGCGAAGCATTAGCCTTGCCTGAGCCATCATTCATTTTGTGCTGCATTGTTCCCTCGAAGGGCCAAGACATTGGAGGTCTTTCGGGAAGCAACGCGCCACACAAAAGTCCCACAGCCCAAGGATGGCCGATGCCTAACGCACTAGGGAGAATGTTAGAGATGCGAATGGAAGCACCGTCGAAGTGCAATCAGCCAGAAACCCTCGAAACGATGGCTATACAAACGGAGCCATCATCCTCACCTGCATCGTCTGCAAACAGGACCTTCAGCATCGCTGTCACCGGCATCACCGGCCAGCATCATCAACATATCTGCAAGTAACACAAGCAAGAAGTTGGGTGCAGTCCAGCGTGTTTTTCATGCGAAACAGAAACAGCACATAGTGGGGGGGAGGCGGGAGGGACTTTTCACCTATTTCACCACAGCGCATATCGGCCTCAAGGTCGTGTTCCGTCACTTTACGATACTTCCCCAATACTGAAGTCAGAGATCCCCAAAGAAAGGTACCCAGACAGTTTGGTGAGCTCCAAATAAAATAGGTAGAGAAGTGACGAGCAACAGCAAAGCAGAAGGACAGCAAGTCAGAGCAAGTTGCAGTCGGAAAGCAGGGGACGGGAAAGTGCAATGCATGCAAGGACCCAACGGAAACAAGCACCACTACTGTATAAGATTCGGCTAAGACTGAAATGCTGGCCAAAAAAAAACATGTTTGGTGACTTCTCTCAGGGATCCTGTCAGCTTTTGGGCCCCCCATTGCTCTTGTGGAAGCTAGAGAATCTGTAGCTGTTGTGGCCTTGTTTGCACGCCGAAGCGTTGGTGCCAAGGACGGAGAAACACAGCTTCAAAGCTTGAAAGCACCCTCGGGCCTAAGGCCTAAAGCAACTAGTCTTCCAGCACCCCACTTCGTGATTCTTGGAAAGAGAAGGTAATGTCGACCCCATATTAATCAACCCCGGTTTAGTAGTAGGGGGTGGGGTGGGTTTGGTGGGGAAACAGACCACTTTTGGAGGGGAACCTAGGTCCTCCAGTAGAGAGGTTGGAATAAGGGTGCCCTTTTTTTCTGTAGTCTATTTCTGTAGTCTATTTTAGTAGGGGAACCCTCCCAACCAAAAAAGCTGGCAAAAGGGCCTACTTGGGGACCTAGGAACACACCCCGGCATGCCGAGGCTTCGTGGAGCCGGGGCGTTTTTGTTTTCTGCTCTCTGCATCCAAGCCGCTGCCATGGTGCCTGGCCAGTGGCCCCGCAAGATGGCTCCAGGCGAGGAATGGGACTCGCCCCGAACAAAACCCGTGGTACGCCTTCCACGTCATTTGTGTTCCTTCCACGTTTTTCACACCGGCGACCCCCCAAACTTTACCGCCTCTCAGGTTTTGTTGACCAGCACCTCTCATTTTAGCATTCAGCCCAAAACTGGGCAGCCCTCAAATTTCCTTGCTGAAAGTTAACTTTTAGCTTGTGAAACGGAAACTGGTTACCACGCAACCAACTAAAAGCGATTTGTCAACAAGGTCAGCCAAGTCTGGCAAAAAACAGAAAGCAGCGGATTTTCTTGAGCTCTCTCACTTCCAAACATGGGCTCCAAAGATGGGATTCACCACCAAACCACCGCAACCACCAAGCCAAATGGAAGGAAGCTGAATGAGGGTTAAGGCTTTCTTCTAACACCACGCAAAGGCCAAAGGGGGTGTAGGCAAGTGGCACTTCCATTGGCTTAAGCCCCTTCGGTGCGGGTCTAGAACAGACTTCTGCACCTGCAAATGGGAGTGTCTGCAGCGAGTTCCGCACTTCAGGGTGCGCCTCTTGATCCCTGTTACACTGTTGTGGGATGGGGTTAACATTTTGAGATGCAGAATTGGCCTCAGTTGCCCCTCAGGGATCTGGACATACATCACTTCTTCGGGCAACTAAAGATGGTCCAAAACGGAAAAATCAAAGGTCGGCTTTGGGCAACTAAGTAAAACTTCTTCCTTGCGTGTAGTTTCATTGGCGCAGCGCCCACAGCAACCACGACAGCCCTTCCTTCCTTCGCTTCCTTTGCTTCCTTCACTTCCTTCACTTCCTTCACTTCCTTCCTTGCTTCCTTCCGTCCCTCCCTCCCTGCCTCCCTCCCTCCCGTCCTTCCTGCCTTCCTTCCTTCCTTCCTTCCTTCCTTCCTTCCTTCCTTCCTTCCTTCCTTCCTTCCTTCCTTCCTTCCTTCCTTCCTTCCTTCCACGCTGCTGCTTTGAGAATAGCGATGAGTTCTTTTGGATGCCTAATACTTTCTTTTTTTGGTGCCTAACAAAATTGCTTGGGTCTGGGGCGGAAGGGAATCGACTCGGAACATTCACTGCCAATGGGTATTTGGCAAACGGCCCTGCACTGTTTGGCCTGAGCAAATTCAAGGCATGCATTTGAATCATGGTCTACTCCATGGGCCCGGGTGCCCTGCACTTCAAAGCCCAAAATGGATATGATTCTGGGAGGAAACTGTGGGCAACCCATCGGTCGCCATCAGGTGGCTGTGGGTCAAAATAGGAACCCAAAATGTCACCCTGGTAAATGGAAACAATGACTAAAACCTGTGGTTCCCTGGCGATCAAAACAAATCGCAGCTCGAGTCCCGCCCGGCCGCCTGGAGGTTGCAGCGTCCAAGGCCCGAAGGGCGGCAAGAGTTCAGTGAGCCGAGCTGAGCGGCTCTGGCGGCTCGGGGCTGAAGCAAACGCAGGTGAGAGGGGTTCCCTTGTCCAAGAAAACATCACCCAAGGTAAAGTAATCGTATGGCAATAAAAAGGGATGTTATCACCCTGCAAATGTATAAGGACCCCAGCTATGGGAAATGAATTGAACCGAGTGAAACCACACATCCTGAAAATCAAGACGGCACCTTCTGCCTTCGGGTCAGTAAACCCTCAAGGACATAGGAAAGTTGGTTGACATAGAGTGATTTCCCCACGTCCTGGCCAAACTAACCATACGGAACATTCTGAGCGGACCTCATAGGTGCCTGTACGTCATGGTCATGGTGCCCTTGTCTAGGCTCCTTTACCATGCTCGTCTAAACACCCTAGTTCAATGTTTTGCCAGTGCCGGGATGACAGTCCCTAACAACCCAAATAGAAGAATGTTTGACCAAGGCACTTGTGGCGCAAAGGCAACTCTCCAGCTTGTGAACTGCGAACACCTTGGCTACCACCAGCCTGGTGACCATCCCCAACCGAGCTTTTTGTTCGTGGATGCCAAGGGGTCTGAAAAAGAGAAATCGTGCGTCCCTTTGGAAGCATTCTCCAATACAAAGGTAACGTAGCAGCTTCCCTGCGGTGTGAATCGCCACCAAACAACATACTAACAAGGAAACAACATACCTACCCCTGAAAACAGAAGCGAAGCACTACAACCACTGCCTTGAACCCACCCAAACTCAGTCACAACCAAAAGAACTCGACAGTTTGACGTCTTAGCACCGGAACTGCAAATGGACAAACACGAGAAAGCCCAAAGGGAAACCAACAAACAACAGACAATGACAGTGGAACGAAACCACTAAGAGGCACAAAACCAACAAAATGCCAAGCAAACAAACAAACAAACAAACTGCCAGGAAAACGACTGGAACCAGAGAGGTCGAAGAAAAGACAAAACAAAACTCACAACCAAGAAACAAACATGGTTTGTTTAAAACAGCACGGGGAAAGCACAACCAAACCCAGCAACCACACGCAAACCACAAAGGAACATCTGCCGTCGCGCCCGGTGCGCTTGGTGCTTGGCATTCGTGGCCTTCGACACCCATCACGGAGTCCACCTGCGAAGTAGGAAGCGCGAAGCGCTCTGTCGCCTGTGGCCCCGTCTCCACTTTGGTACTTTGGGCTTTGCGAACACGGGTAAGTGTTTTGCGTACTTGTTGTTTGTTTGATGTTGTTTGATTTTCTTTGTTTGTTTGTTTGTTTCTTTGCGGAGAGAAGCAAACTGTATGTTGTGTGCGTTGTTGGTTTCTTGCGTTCTTGGCTCCGTCTAAGAAGGGGTTGGCCTGCAAAATGATCTGCATTCGCAAAAGATTCGTCTTCCAAAAGGGGCCCTGTGCACCAAGTTCGGGGTGGAAGGTGACCCCTCAAGCACGCCGCAGCAGACACCTGACCCTCAGCATCATAGGGCCCATCACGTAAAGCCATGGCCACAATAAGCTCGTGGTTCCCCTAAAGTAGATAGAACAACCGAGGCTCGATCTCCACATCCCTCCCAAATTTCCAGCAGCCCTGTAAGGGAATCCCAGGTTGCTGCTTTGGCAAGCAAAAGTCAATTTCATCCGCTTCTTTTGTGAAGGGGTTAACTTTCCACCCGCACAAGCCAAGGCTTCAAAAGCTTTAACCGTTTCGAGTTGGGGGGGGGGAGGGGAAAGGGGCGGGGGTAGCAACCCCTCCTAATTGCTGCTTCAAACTCCATACTTTGAACACTTCTATCTTTGATGCTGGCTCCAGCCACTAAACGAAAACAACACAATAGATAGATAACAAACAGACATAGTAGATGTGGCCATGGGTCAAAATCCCGTACCCCCAGTGAACATCCCAATCCCCGCTAAAATAGGTTCTAAAATGGGTTGTGAATTCACCCATCCCAAAATGGTATCCCATTGGTTTTGAAACATGGCCATGTAAGAGCTCAAGGCAAACCAACAACTCTCGGTTGATTTCTGCTCCCCTGCTAAAAGTTTAACTTTTAGTGGTTTAGTGGAAAACCCCTTGGTCGGCGGAAAGTTAAAGTCCGAACATCCCTCACAGCAAACTGCACCAACAAACTCATGGGCAACGACCCCCGCGAAGGAGACCCCGCGTCTCCGCGAATGGCCACCTCCTTCTGCAGCCGTGCCAGCAGCTCCGGGTTCTGCGCCTCGAGGGCATCTAAGACACCATGGGAGGGGCCCTGAACGACTCCGAGAACAAATTCATATGGAAAAACAAGAAGGGGGGGTCACCCAAAAGGAGCTTCCCCTAGGAAACATGGATTCTTGGGCTCCGAGCTGCGTTTGGTTCCATGTGAATCTGTAGGAGGGTGCTCCTCACAGAACCATGGAGTTTACACAATTTACATCTTGGCAATAAAGCGGCGCCCGGCTGGCGGGCGAAGAAAGAAGAAGGCAAGACACCATTAACCCAAGGGCGATGCTTCTTTAGAGCACGTGCTTTCGGGGGCCCCTTCTTTTGTGTTCCATGTTAATTTGGCGGAGGAGAGAGAGAGAGAGAGAGAGAGAGAGAGAGAGAGAGAGAGAGACAGAGAAAGAGAAAGAGACAGAGAGAGAGAGAGAGAGAGCAAGTTACCACGTTTCTGTGAACATGTGCCAACATGCCTTTCCAAATGTAGGGTGTCTTCCAGAGTCTTCCAGGATCTTGCCGGATGGCGGCGGTATCCTAAGTATTGGCCTCCAGGATGGCAAGGAAAAGGCGCAACTGGGAGATCGACTTTAAAGCCCCGCGGACTTTAGCTGCTCTCACTCGCCGCTTAGGGACCTGGAAATAACAGGTGATCACCTTTTGGGGCCAGGACTAAACATGGACCATCATGGGAAGACCACAAGGTCAACAGGTCGGCTTTGTGGAACTGAGTCTTACATAGAGACTTTGTGCGCCACCCGCGTAGTTGCGATGTGAACCCACCAAGTCCCTGGAGGAAACTGGCAATGGAACCCGGAGCCTCCACTTAGGTTCCATGTTGCATGCGGGGCATGTCCAACTATCTTCGAGGTCGCCTTAAAAACTCAGGCGCGCCACATGTCCTAGTTCATTCCTAGGGGCACGTGGACACAGAAATGCCACTGCAACTAGTGCGAACCACTTCTGTCCAGCATGGGGCATGGCTGCCCTTGTTTATTGGTTGTGACACTAAAAGTGGGCCAACCCCATGACTCACAAATTGGTCAAACCATCCTTTCCCACAGTGCCAGCCTGGCTGCCCAAAACGACTCATCCAACAGGCGCGAACAACAACCACAGGACCCCAGATGTTCAGTTGGGTGAAAGTAGGTCCCCTTTACCAAAGCCAGGTTGCAAAACCACGTGAAAGTAGATCCCCTTTACATAAAATTGGTGGCATTTACTTTTACCTCGGTGCAGCCCTCCGTTTACATTCCCATGCCACTCCCGGTCCTTGTTGCCTTCTGCTCCCCCGCTAAAAGTTTAACTTTTAGTGGTTTAATGGAAAACCCATTAGTTGGCAAACAGCTAAAGTCCTAACATCCAAGCAAAATGCACCAAAGCCACGAAAACATAAAACAATCCATGAGCAATAAATTCCATCATAAACAAGAGGCCACAACATAAAGCAAGGGGTACAGAATCCATATAAACTATGCGCGAATGAACTCAGGGGTCTCCTTAAAAGAAACCACATGGAATGGTTTATAATTTGGGGATATTCCCTCCTTCCCTGCCTATCGCAAGGTATACCGAACCGCCCGGTCGGGTTCAAGGCGGTGGCCAGTTCAAAGAGTGCCCAGGTCAATGCACTGGCGGTGGTTTCGTGGCCCGCCTGCCGTCACACGAACGCTCAGTCAGCTAGGAAGGGCTTCTTCCATTTCCCTTCTTGGAACCTCCTAAGATTGCGCTTTCAGTGGAAACCACCAGCAAAGTGCAACTTTTGGAAGGGGACCCCCACAAACTCCTGTAGCATAAACCTTCAAACAGAAGTTGTGTGCCTGCCAACTACAACGAAATGCAAAGTAAAGCAAAACAAAGCGAAGCAAGCAGGCGATTTGGACAAGCCTGATGATGCAATCCTTTCAGAGCTAGCCTCAGTTGTCAACATGTTTTTCACAAGCACACAATCAACGGTTTCAGCAAAGGTGGCAGGGTGGTGATGAATGAGCAAGAATCCGATACTAAGTATGGTTCAAGACGCTTCAACCCCGAAACAATTAAAGCTTGGAATTGCAAGAGTAAGTGAGCGTCGCCGTCAGAGTTAAGCCAATTGTTTCAACGTTTGCCAACATCTCTAAGCACCTGCGTCTCCTTGTGTGTTTCCCTTTAAAGGGAGCCAGGGGTCGGTTGTTCAAACACATTTGGCCATGGGTCCAAATCCCGTACCCCCACTGAACATCCCAATCCCCACTAAAACAGTCTAAAATGGGTGGTGCACCTGCCCCAAAATGGGATCTGATTGGTTTTGACAACCACCGCCATTTTCCCCAACCCTGCGCGGAATCGAGGCCAGTGCGATCAGCATGGTGATCATGTCATCCCGCAGCTGCTTGCCGGAGGTGGTCTCCCCGCGCATGTCCACCTCGGACTCAACCGTGTCGCTGGGTCGCTCCGTGTGGCCAAACGCAAGGAACAGAAATGACCCTCTAACTTGGACAGACCATAATTTGACAAGTTCGTTCCAGTTTCTTCCACGGGTGCCCCCAGGATTTTGTCTCTATTGGCCTCACCGGGTTAAGTCTTGGACAGAAAGCATTCTTCCAAGCTTGCTGGTGCTCAGGGAAATGGTAGGGAATGAAGGAATAAGCCCGGGGTTCAAGGAAACCCTGCACCCTTAGGGGTCATTCCCGCATTTTTACTGACCAAGTGAGACCCTCAGGGCCTAAAGGACGCAAGGACTTCCGAAGGCCGAGCGCGGAGCCAAGAAGCGGAGCAAGGAAGGGTTCTCCATCCTGGCGCAAGCTTCCCGCACGTCGATGGGATTGGGAACCCCCCAAACATCAAGTGCTTTCCTGGCTTCCCTAAAACCAAAACAAGGAACCACAAACACACCGAAGCATTCCACTTGTTGGCTGTAGAGCTGGAAGGGACCTTTTCGGATGCAACTTGAACAACCGTTGCCATGTTTGAACCAAAGGCCATGCAATCACCGCGATTGCGAAGCCATGGGCAGAAGTGGGTGCATCTGTGATACCAAGGTGGTCCATCCTCATTTCGCTTTGGCATAACCATGTGCACCAGGCCATACACCCAGGCCATGACCAAAGGCCTGGTACATCAGACCTACTTGAGGCGCAGCCAAGTCATGAACCCAGAAATACGGCGATTCGTTGAGGCCCACCTACTCACCAGAGTGTTTGTCACCCTTCATACAAAATAAAGGGCTCCCCCCTAAGGTCCTCTTCTGAGTTGGGGGGGTTAGGGGGCTTTGGTGGTTCCCTAAGAGCTTCAAGCAAGTTGCAGCACCTCCCTTTTCCTCGCTTCGATCAGCTCACTACGCTTCTGCACCGCTTCACGCAGGTGCTACCCATCTGCCGGGCCTAAGTGCGCATCTGATGTGTTCTTTTGTGGGTGGTTTGGGGGTTGTAGAAGCCATCTCACCAGAATGCTCGCCACTCAGCCTGGGAAATGCAGTGGGCCCGCGTAACATGTAGAGTCGTAAAAGCTAGCAGCACGCCGGCTGCGTGGAATGCAGTGCTTTCACATGAATCACACGAGGGACGGAAACATGGTGCGATTTCCACAGGTTCCACTTGTTGCTGTCCTTTGCAAGGAAACTCAAAGAACCACGACCTATAGCCTGGGTTTTCGCTCGCCCGAATCAGAGCTAGGCAGAAACTCGGTTGACTTGGGATTTGGGCGGTTCACTCGAACTGCTTGGATGGTTTTTTTCAATGCGGTTCTTAGCCGAGAGAGGCTCGATTTCCAACATCCCGACCGAAGAACCCGAACAAATGGGCCTGTGCCTTAGGTCCCATAGGTTTGGGACCTCCAAAAAGACCCAACAAAAGTCCCCCAAAAAATGTCTGAGAACCGATCAGTCCAGAAGTGCGCCCCTTTTGGCAGCGGCTCTTTGTCGACTTTTCTCAACCCTTCCCAATGCCAAGTTCTGTGCCAGGTCCGAAGAAAAGGATCCTATCCCCTTTAGGCTTCCATAAGCCGAAGGTTCACTCAGTATGAGCGGCTCGAGCAACTGCTCGTTGGTTTGCGCCAGGGAAGGGTTGTCAGTTAGGTCATTGACGGCTTCGCCGTGAGACATTTTGGTCTTCAGGGGGAGTGGCTGAATTGTGATGCCCCTGTGGCATCCTATATGGACAAGCCTGGGTGCATCTCAGGCTCCCCGTTTCAAGGGGACCTGAGACAAACCCAACTCATGAAGCCATCTTCGGCCGGACCGGCCAAAACCCCCTACATATCCGTCTCTCACCCAGTTGCCCATTCAGCCGGGTAGAACCAACAAAAAGGCAACCTGTTTAGTTGGTGCATTCCATTTTCTTCAGCAAACCTATCAACACAAATAGAACATCTTGGGTGGCATCCACTGAGCAACCGGGAGCTCCCTACTCTGCCTCTCTCACACCTAAATCCAGCCCAACTCCTGGTACCGCTGGAGGTGTCTGTCAGCGAGGGAGTCACGCCACCAACGCTCTGCGCCTTGTAGCCATGGCTTGGTCACTGACTCAGACCCGGAGCAGCCTCCCTCTTTCCATTGTGGGCGTGGGGTTGGAAAACGCTACCTTCCTCTTGAAAAGGCGCCTTGCCCACATCCATGGCTGGGAAAACCAGTATACCGGCTTCTGAATATGTGCGAAATTCTCCTTGAATGGCTGTAAAGAGAAAACACCTTGGACACCAACCCCGGGCAAAGGTCTCTAATTTCGAAAAACATCCATATGACCACCAGGTGGAGCTCACACGAAGGCATCATAGACTTCCCCAAAGGTAGCGATGCTGGAGTGAAAGACGCCCTACACACAAGAGGAAGCATAAGCTTACCCCGGAGGACAAGCTTTCCCATCCCATCCCAGCCATCTGTTTGGGACACATGTATGGCAAAGCCGTTGAAAAGTCGTAATGATGGCTCTTGGCCAACAAAAAGGGCCGGCCAACAGGTGAAGGAAGGGGACCTCTGAGCCCTGGATGAAACCAATTTATGTGCGGTCTGAGCGTCGGTCGTTCCTGTCCTTTTCCTTCCTCAGCTTTTTCCTGGGCCAGACTTTTTGGACTCCCGGCCAAAGGTTGTTGCTGCTGTTTCTCCCCTTCTGAAGGCAAATGCAGCAAATCCAAAAAAAAATGCTCAGCGCCGCCAATGGACCCCACAAAGTCAGTGCAAAGGGAGGAAAAGGGGGTCCATTGGGGTCCAGGAAGGCTGGGTGCTACATGGGCCCGGCATCTGAAAAAGTTACGCTTTTGGTTTCCTTGCCAAGAAACTCTCCCAATCCCCAGCGGCTCCCAATGTATTTACGGCCCTTTTACAGCCAGGTTTTGAGACCCCGCAACACCTTCGGGGAGTCTAATGGAGGGGTCGGGTCTTGCATTGAAAGCGCCAGGAGCCTCTGGGATGGGCAATTTACCACTCACTCACTTACCCAAAGGACCCAGAAACAAAGAGTAAACCTTTTGGGGCCATGCCTAAAATTGACCAAGACAGGGAAACCAAAAGGCCAAAAGGTCAAAATGGGGCTATCTGCGTATGGGTCAAAACTAAATCACCGCTCAGGGGGGTCAACCCATTTTGGGGGATGTGTCAGAAGCTGATTCACCACTGAAGCTCACTTTCCCCAGAGGGCCCTGAAAATAAAAGCTGCATATCTTGGGACCGCTCTAAACATGAGGGAACACCAACAAGGAATGTGGCTGGTAAAAAATGGGTATCCGTTTTGGATCCCTAGTAAATGGAACCAAGGACTAAAGCCTGCGGTCCCCTGGTGCTTTCATTTTGACCCATACCCATTTCAGGCATGCGCTTAGCAACGAAGGCCTGACCAATGCCGAAGCGGCAGTTCGTATCTCGCGCTTTTCGCTAGCTCTGCCCTGAAGAGGCACTCGGAAATCCAGAGCTGGGCATTCGGAATGTCTCTTCGAACAGAGCCGCCCACGTGGAAACCTGAAGGCCATGAAGCCCGAAACGGAAACCTGGGTCCCTGGGGCCCAAAATGAAGAAACCCACAACAGCTCAGCCAAAGAAAAAAAGAGCAACCCCAAAAATGATACCGCAATTTCCCAACCATATGGATGAGGGTTACTTCCGGTTCCGTGTGTGGCCCGAATGGGATTAAGCCCCGCTCTGAGCGGGGCCCTACCCAAAGTGACATCCTCAACACAAGTCATGGCTTGAAGGGAACCCAGGATTAATAAACTCGTCCCATTTTTAGGGGGGTGTTCCCTCCAAAAGGGAAAAGGGGACACCCCCTATTCATCAACCAGGGGTTTATGAATCCGAGGTTAACACAGCCGAACTCTTGGGCAAACAGTAAAACTGGAGACCCGCGAGGGAAACCGCGGCGAGGCACGGTCATCTCCCAGCGGGCTGCCCGGGCCGAAAAAGCTCCGACATGACAAGGAGGACGAGAGAGCGGTGGAGGGCGTCGTCAAGTATTTGCCTTTCAGCTTGCAGTTGAGTGAAAGTAGATGGCACCACTTTAACATGGGGGCAACAAAAAGGGGGTAGCACGCCCGCCTGGGGGGGGTGGGGTGGGGAGGCTAAGGAAATGACCAGGAAATATATTCTGAGAAAGCTGATCCGTAGCATATACCCCCTTTTTCAGTCACAGGGATCACATCATACAATAGGAAAAGACAGCGAACCTCTCCAAATCGTTCAAAACATCTAACCGTACCTTCTCCATTCTCTTCAGGGATCCCTCCCTTCCCTCCGGGAAAGTGTCTGGTTTCTCTTGGTCAAGGGACCCTTTTGGGATGCTTAAGGGAAAACAGGGCCCTTTTGGATGTGTAAGGGAAACAAAAGGAAAACCTTCTGTTTTGAGGGTGCCCTTTTTGGATGTTTAAGGGAACGCCTGTTTTGAGAGACCCGTTCGGGATAGCTGGGGAAAACCAACTAAAAACCGCGTGTTTTGAGGGTGCCCGGTTGGGATTGTTAGGGGAAGGCAAGGGTAAATCCGCCAATTTTGAAGCCCCAATTTTTGAGACAACCCAAAAGAACAGCAAAAGCAAAACGCGCTGAGTGGATTTCTGGGCTACCCTTCTCGGGCGCCAGCTTGAGCGGGCTGTGCATGGCCAGCCGTGCGGCCGAGCTGGTATTGTGCAGCTCACTGATGTCACCTGCCTGGGCAACATGAAGCCAAAAGGAAGCCGCCATTTTTTTGCGGGCTCCCGCGTTTAGAGACAGGTCCATTTGTTCTACTTGGGCCTGTCTTCAAAGAGAGCCGCAAAGTGGCTGGTGTTTTTGTTCTCGTGTGTGTTTGTGTTTAGTAAGGCTTGTACCCTGCTTTGGGTTGCCAAAGGTAAACCTACAAATTGCCGCCGTTCTTCAGGTCACCCTGTTTGGACACAAACCGACATAAGTGGAACCAGGGGGAACCAACATCAAGCGTTTCAAGCGTGCAGCTCAAAACCAGGGCTTTTTCGGAATATTAACAAAGAGCAACCACACACACACACTCACCTGTAAAAATGGCTGGCACATGTCTATATACCGTAGGAGAGCCCTTGTTTCAAAAATCTGCAAACTGCACCCCTACTGAACCAGAACCAGAACCACCCCACCCCGCCCCCCCACTCCATGTTCTTCCCCGACCCCAGTACCGAACAAATCTCAAGCAAAGCCGCTTCCAGGCAGCAGCCTTTGGAACACTGTTGGTCCTTGGATGTCGCATGCGAATTGAACATTCAGATGCGAACGGAGGGTTCTCGGAGCCTTGTTAGAGTGTGTTTCTTGTTGAAACAATCATTGGGTTCCGAAGAGCCAAGGTTCACTGTAATCCTCTGGCTC